ACAAAGTGGAATGGGACTTCTGTGACATTTCACCCTGCTCAGGAACAGGTAAAGAATTAGAAAAGTGAGCTGTTTGGCAGCATGTAGGTGGTCCAGGCAGCAGGTGACTCCCTGTTACTCAACTCCTCCAGTCTGATATTATCTCTACATTATACATCTGTTGTCTCTTTCAACGCAGCTGAAGAGAGCCCACGGCCAGTAGACAGCCCAACAGACCAACCTGGATCGAATGAAATATTCAAAACATGTGGACAACCAGAAATTCAAAAGACACTCAAGAGGATCTATGGTGGGGCTAAGACCACAGCTGGCAAACATCCCTGGATAGCATCTCTGCAGATAAAGACTTCAAAAAGGAGCACACATTTCTGTGGTGGCGTGCTAATTAAAGCATGCTGGGTTCTTACTGCTGGGCACTGCATTGAGTAGGTGCATGTCCTATGCCTAGGGTAGATAAATGTATAAAAATCAGGATGGTTATTAGAGACAGTTTGAAATCCAAATTATTTGCAATTGAAATGATTGCTGGGAATCAAATTGAAAGGAAAACATATATGTGAAAAAAAGAACACATACATAAATATATATATACACACTTGAAAATGGTGCTTGCTAGAAGAATAACTAAGTAAACTTACCCCCCCCCTCACCTAAAATGACCTAAAATAGTTGTGTGAGAGGAAAAAAGGAGGACAGTAACAAGGTTTTGCAATGTATAAAAGAAGGACTCCATGAAAACTTTAGGGAATACCATAAGCAACATCACATACTGCATCATAACTAAGATCTCCAGAGCAGCCAAAATAAGCATTTTGCTTTCAATTGTTTATGTGGCAGCTAGCTTAGAATATGACATTTCCTTCAAGGTTTTTGTTGAATAGGTTGAAAACCACCATCCTTGGAAACTGGTAAATAATACTCTGGAGGTTATTCCAGCACAGATGATTTTAAGTATGCCCAGACAATGGCGAGCAATTGTACTCCCATGGCTCCATGAGTTGCCACTCATTGTCACAGCCACAGTAATAGACTGAATGCACACTGCTACTCTGCCCTGAAATGCACAGAAAACCACGTTCATGCAGTTTTAAATCACCGCATTTCATGATTGCAACAAGTTAAGAGCACATGTATTGCGTGACACCACCACTTGCCTAAGTCCTCCTATAACGATCTTAGGAAATCTGGCCATGCAATATCTTGACTTCCAGATGCTGAAGGTGCAGGTTTTCACCACTGCTGATAGACAACGTCTGCATGTAATTTGCTTTTTTTTTTTTCCCCCCAGACATCCAGCAGAAAATCTCCAAGTAGCCCTTGGAAAGCAAGACCTCAAGAAGAAAGAGCATCAAGAGCAAATATTTGATGTGGAGAAGGTCATCGTACATTACAAATACAGAGAGAAGGATGGTGTCCCACACAATGATATTGGTAAATCCCTTTTATTGAATATTCATGTGGCTCACCTCCAGACTCAGTGGTCTGAAGGTCTGAAGCACCTCTCTCCAACTAAAGTCAATGTAAAATTAGGAAATAATTAGGCCAAATTGTGGTTTAGACCCATTTGAATCTTTGTGATGTGAATTGTGATGGGCAGGCAGAAGTCACGGTGTGGGAGGAGCAAAACAAGAGGGACAGGTCCGGCATGTCGTGCAAATAGCACATCAGGTATACACAGCTTTGCGCAGGGTTGTGTAACAGACTGGTAATGATGGTTAGGGATTAATATTTGCAAAAAATACTTTTTGTTGTTGTTTATCTTTTCTCCAGCACTACTTAAATTGAAGCCAGTTGATGGACACTGTGCAGTGGAAACAAAGTATGTGAAAACAGCATGTCTACCTAACTTCTTCTTTCCCGTTGGGACTGACTGCTTCATTTCTGGATGGGGCACAACAGAGACAGGTATTTGTGGGCTAGCTGGATTTTGGTGATTTTGGATTTCCACCATGGAAAGGTGGGCTGGTACTTTCAGTAGCAATTGCCAGATCCAAATGTGGACCTAGGCACTTAGTGAAACCAAGACATGGAATTCAAAACTAAGAACGGCTAAACCCTGCCATGGAAATTACTCATTAGCAGAAATCTCCAACTGCTAGACCAACCAAACCTTTCAGAGTTCTGAAAAAAAATCCCCGAAGCAACTTTTTTTTTTTTTGCTTGCCATCTGACACACCATGTCATGGTTTTATCTGAAGCCAGCAACAGAAGCAAGAAAGTATCAAGAGAGAGGCTATTGTATAGTTTGTGTGTTTCAAGACAGGACCAAGAAAGACGGGAACTTTCACATGGTTTTCCAGCCCATTGGGTCAGATAAAGCTTTTCAGAAGCAGCATCTGGATCTTCAGATGCGCTGAAAAATAATAAAAAAATCCAAAGCTTTTCAAGTTCAACCAGCTCTATCCAAAACCTTTCTTGCCCGTGGTAAATCCTAAGGGGAGAAATTACTATGCTTAAAAAAAGATAATGGCAATTTTCTGAAAAAATGCATTTTCTCATGTTCTGATTGATGTGTTGCTGTAAAGCAGCAGAAGGAAAATGTGTCACTGAGGCTGCAGTAGGTGTCCTAGTGCTTTGTGACTGATACAGCCTGATACGATACATAGGACCAAATTCTCCCTTCTGATGTAACTCTTATTGAAGTCCACAAGAGACAAGCGTGTTCATTTGATCAGAATGCAGCAACAGAATTTAATGGACATTTTTTTAAGTTCCAAATAAAAAGTCTCTCTTAAAAAGGGGATGGGGATTTTTTTTTTTTTTTTTCCCCAACAAAGAATACCAAGTACCCTGTACGTGTTCAAACTAGATGGCTCCTTCTTTGAGCAGAGCTATTATTAGCATTTCAGGAAATCACTGCAGAAATGGAATATTTCCTGAAACTCAAGCAGAACCAAACTTATAAACCACCTTTAATTATCTACAGATGTAGTGCTTTGAAAGTCTGGCTATTGCCTTTAGATGTCAAGTTATGTCTTTAGATTCACTGTAATTAATCATTGCCCTTAAATATTGCATGATTTTCAGTTTTCATCTGTTTCATTAGCTTGCGTGTTAAAACATCTAATGGCACCAGCCTGAGAAGTGCTGAGCAGCTCGAAGTCCCACTGGGACCCGTGGGAGCTGCAGACAACCAGCACCGTTGAAAAGCAGGATTACACAGATAGAGCTGATTGGAGCCAAATTCTGAATACCTGACTTTGCTTTTGTTCAGGCAACAACTCGGTGTCCTGAGGGAAGCTTCCAGGCTCCAACTCTAACCCTTATCTTTTCAGACAGATACTTCTTTTCTTCCCAGGCTAGCCCATGCATCCCCCCTGCTCTTCCCCCTTCCCATCCAAATGGCAAGCAAGCTCCTATTTTGAACAAAGACAACATGTAACAGGACTGGGAGGAAGGTGACTCCATTTTTTTGGTGCACATCCCGTAGATGAACTATCCCGTCAGCTGTTAGACGCGAATGTCAAACTGATTTCGCAGAAGAAATGCAATGCACCCAGAGCATATGATCACATACTGGATGAAAGCATGTTTTGTGCGGGAAATCTTCAGAGACCCAGAGCTGATTCTTGTCAGGTCTGTTGCTTTTTCTGTATTTGAACACTAATTTTTTGTGTAAATAGTCAGGCTGTGCAGAGTAATAGCTTTGGCAGGGTGCTGCATATGTATCTGTTTCTCCCATCAGTGTATTATTTCAACAGCCATCGTCTTTCTTCAGTTCAGTTTGAGATGTGTATCCCTAGAGCTAACGTCACTGTCAGGCACAGGCAGATCTATGGAAGTTAGAGACTAGCCTGGAAAGTCTGGCTTCTGAGGCAGTTTGTCATAATAACCTGAAAACTTGCCTTTTTTCTCTCAATTTTATTATGGCCTCTGCCATGAGCACCAATTCTAATTTGATTCTATATCAGAGCTAAGACTTGCAGGGAAAGTCAGGATTGATATTTCTTTCCGTTACTACTAGTGCAAATGTGAAGCAAGTTCATATTTATACTGTTCTAAGCCAGGGAAGACTTTGAACAATATACCTGAGGTGCAAACTACCACTGCAAGCATATTTTGCAATAGAAATCACCAATAAAACAAAAAATGAGACCAGTCAGCTCAGAATAAAATTATTTTGAGGGGTGTGGGAGAGATCAAGTCTTTTCATTTATGCCAAGGATCACGTCTTTATCTTTCCAAGCTCAAGCTCTGAATGCCTGGTACTTTCATGTCTGGGAAATTTCATGTGACCTTGTCAGATGCGTATCACAGACTTGAACAAACAAAAACTTAAATCCAAAAAGTTTGGTATCATTTGACCTGGTTCCAGAACTGTAAGCCCACTGAGGAACTAAGCAGCATCTGATGGTACATCCGATAGGAAAGACACATCATTACAGCTTCAAAGTCTTATGATGGCTGAGGAGCATTCTTATTTTGGTTAACATTTTGCTTCATGTTTTGGACGTGTGTGCTTTTTCTCATCAGGGAGACTCCGGAGGCCCACTAACTTGTGTAGAAAATGGCTCCTACTACGTATATGGCCTTGTGAGCTGGGGTGATGAGTGCGGGTTAAAAAACAAGCCAGGAGTTTATACCCAGGTGACAACATTTCTCAGTTGGATTAAATCCAAAATTCGGTCTAAGTAAAGGTCACTTCATTAAGAGACAGCTTTGGAATGACAAATGGTAAGGTTGAGATATTTACCTATTTTTATCTTTTCCCCAAATGCCTCCTCTTTGACCAAACATATTATTGATATTTCCTCATGGCATCTCATTTTTTTCTTTGGAAGATTTGAAAAAGACTAAAGAACTAATTGTGATCTGAATACATCATGTCAATCAAGAACAAATTCTCTGATGTCCACTAAAAGGCATGCCCTTTGTTAGTCATTGATAACTTTGCTTCCACTGGCCTTTGTCTTGTTAAGCCACCTGAATCACTCTTTTGTATTCTCTTAGATCAGTGGTGCCAATAATCCATGAACATAAAAATCTCCAAAGATTAGAAGTATGGAATAAGATTCATCTGATTTATTCATTACAAATTATTTTATATTCTACCAATCAGGTTAATTCATCTGTAGTACAAAGCTGAGCCTGCCAGTCACCTAGTACTAATTTCATTTACAGCTTTAAATAAATATCAGATTCTGTAATACATACAGTGATAAAATATCCACACAAAAATAGAAAGATGTTATAAATTGCAATGTTTAGGTTGCTTTTCAAAACAAAAAGTTCTTAGATGCCATCTATTGTGCTTCCCAGAAAACTAGAAAAGCTACATGATTTGCAGGACATGAAAATCTATTTGTGTTATGTCATGTTTCTGTTTACTTTTGATAGAGCTGCATTTTCCTTCTCTTGACTTGCAGAATTTCTGAAGCATCGGGGTTGACTGTGACCTGCTGAGATCCTTCCGTCTCCAATTGGTCCTGTTAAATCAAAACCAATTAAATTGTGAGGACAGCCAGTGGACAGGAGAAGGTTTTAACAATTATTCTATAAAAATATTTGTACATTAAAAATTACCTCAAGTGGCAAAAAAATAAGCCAAATCTGATTCACTGCTCTGCATTGAGCAAATCTCTACCACAGAAAAGTGCAAAAATCAGAGCCATTCATGTAAGTCAGATACTACATATATCAAAAGACTAAATGTGCTCAAATCCTAATTTCTAATTTGAGCCCTAAATAACAAGCAAACCAGCAAACACCTGAGTTCCAGGTGGATTGCACACCTGTAGATTTCCCTGGGACCATCAGATTGTTATCATATGTAAGACTTAAGAAGATATTGCCTGCAGACCCTGCTGTCTGCATTCCTTGACCACAGTTATAATTTATTTCCTGAGTAACTTTTCAGATGGGAATGTAAATTACGGGTATGTCCTGTTTCTCTTGGGCTGGCTTATTGTTTGACTTGTTGCCAAAGTTAAAACTGAAATGAAACAAGTATTTAAAGTGCAGAACTTCTCTTTTATTGTAACTTAATGCTTCCTAATCGTAGAGTCTACAAAGTCCCTGTATGGACTTTTGCTCTCTTGTGCTGGGACACTGCAGATTGGAAGTCATCCCTGTGGAGGTAGGGAGAAGGAAAACCTGGAAGATCCCTGCTTGTAATTTCTTGCACCTTGGGCTGGACAGAGATGGAGGAGGGTTGAGCATTCCCCCTTCGCAAAAAGCCTCCCACAGTACTGGGGAGCCTCCCACAGCACACATTATGCTGTTAGGAGTCTGCACTAAGCCTGTCAATATAGTTGCCAGTGGAGATCACATGGCAACACAGATGCATCTTGCTGAAATTACGAAAAGAGAAAGGGAGCTGTACAGGGAGTTCCCTTCCACCTCTACTTCTGCTTTTCGTGGCGGTACCAGGACACTTGGAGATCTGACAACATCCACAAGTTAAGGGAAACACGTCCCATGGTATAAGTAAATCCTATCCTGTGGCACTTCCTAGTCCCTACAGGAATTCCTCAGCCATGACAGTGCTGAATTCTCTTGAGAGGTTCCTTCAAATTAAGGTGTACACATAAGCCAAAAAGCTTCATGACGGAAGTATATATATTCTGTTCAAATAATGGGGAGAACTGTAGACTCCAGGGAGTATTCAAAAGCATTAAGCAGGATGCGTGCCTGCCTGCCTTCTAGAGAGCAGAGCTGTTGGGGTTTGTGAGAACGGTTTACTCTACTTACAACTGCAGGTCCATACTGAGCAGAAGCACCCTGCAATCCCATTTCCCGAATGTACATCAACTCAGCAGCTCTTCTTGCCATTTCGACTTTGTGAGAACCTGGGGGAGTCCAGCCAATGCCTCTGAGCCAGTTCAAGTCAGACTTGTATTTTACCTGAGAGAATGAAACATACACCAGTGTGTATTATTTTGTTTGGCTCTAATCAAACCACATGCCCTGGGTATTCCAGAGAGACCATATAAAGAGCACAGGTCGATAATAAACAAATTACGCATTTTCAGCAACCAGACTGTAGTTCTTTCAAGAATGTGATTTTGTTGATAGGTAAGGTCTGTGAAGCACAGACAGCTCCTAGCACTTGGCAGGACAGTGTCACTCAGCTATACTTACATCACTCTGCAGCTTGTAGGCCTGCTTTGCATGCTTCACATTTAGCTGCTCAGGATCACAAGTGTATTGGTGCATAGGCTGCCTGTAGTTAACATTGCTTGCAAGCTGCTGGCTTCTCTTAGCATGGAGAAATCCTGGCTGGTTGAGCTGACTCTGGAACTGTGCCCTGGTTTGGGCATATCCACTCCTGTATTGGTTGTCACTCTGGAGTTTCCCCACTCTGAGGACATGCCTGATTTTGGGATCATCATTTACGCTGAGGAATCCAATCTGCTGGCCTCTGTCTCTCAGGAAGGCTTCTCTGTATTTGTACTGCAGGAAGGGCAGAGGAAAAATCTCATTTTCACATTCAGATTACCTTCAAATTCTGTTATGAAATAGCATACCCTCCCCAAGCTATCAATAATGCTTCCTGTAGTGCACAAAGACCACGGGCTGGTTTGATATCAAATTACATCTCCTAATCTAACAAGACACTTTAGAAGAATGCTCTTTGTGCTAATTTTTAAAGGAGTAGAAAGACTTAGGAGCCCAAATTACTCATCTCTCAAAAGCAATGAGAAGTCCTCTGATCGGAGCACTCTTGGGCACACCCAATGCACAGCTCAAGCAATGAAGCTGCTCCATCTTTAGCTTTCTTGCCAACTGTGGTCTGTGTGTTCAAAGATGACCCACTTTATTCTAGACCATGCTTTAACTATTCACAGCATAGTACCTATTTTATTTAACTACATCATAATATGCTTCCTTCCCAAGAATAACTCTTTGAAGTGAAACAGAGCAGCCTGGTATTGGAAATTATTAATGGGAGCCTTTAGTTGGAAATCTTTGCACTTAACTGGCATTTGGTTTCACCGGGTCACCAATTTTCCAAACTAGAACAAGGTTCACTTACGTCAGAATTTCCCCATTTTTACAGGGTGGGGGTGGCATGGGAAGAGGGTTGGGAACAGAACAATTCTTACATCACTAGCAATCTCTCTTGAAGCCTTAGCTGTCTGGAATGGGATGGCGTCAATCCTAAAATCATAGCCAGATGCCCTTGTCTGTTCCCAAGATGTTTTATACAATTTCTGTGTTGAAAAGAAAAGAACAAAACAGTCATTTCCCCCTGCAGTTTCTTAAACGCAGTCCCATAACTGCGATAATAAATGTTTTACCCTACTGGGTTTATTTATATCAAGAGTCATCAGTACCATCTCCAAGGTTTTGATCCAGTTCTATTGCACTTCAACTTCTTTTCTATTCACCATAATGATAAAATGCCTCATCTGAAAAGTGCCACCAGGGTTTCCTTTTGTACTTGAATGTGGTTGGTTTTGATGTGATTTAATTTCTGTTAGAAACTGCGATGCATCAGTCACATCAATATTGCATTGGTATTGCCCTTATTCTCTCTTTTGATGCATCCACTTGCAGTGTCTTGGGTTTCATGGCATCATAATTTCAATACCCGTTATTTCAAGCTTTTCAACTGATCCCTGTCTCTATCCCCAGCCACATGTGGCTTCATTAACTCATATGGAATAACAGCCAGTTCTAACATATTTAATGTGACTTTGAGGATGTGAAATACATTTACATCCTGAAGATAAATTGCTCTAGATTTGGTTCTTCTTCCATCAGTAGCTTTCTTAAAATAGCTTCCTGTCTGCAGGTCCTGCTACATATCCGCGGTATCTTAGCTGACACTTTCAGCTGTCCCTTTCTGATTTTATTCATTTGCTTTCTATAAGACTTTGATTCATCCTTTCTGGAGTTTGTGAGCATATGAAAACAAATACAAAATCCACTTCACATTTCAAAAGATAATCTTCTGTTTCTCCAGTGAATTTAGTGCTAGGTGGTGCTTAATTTGAAGGTAAACTGAGATTCCAGAAATCCTGCAAGACAGCCTGGGTAGAAGCAATGCAAGCATTACTGTACACCCTGCCAACTGGTCTAGGTCTGATCTTTCATTTATGTGCAGTCACCCCTTTGGCTTTTTACCTTTTCCTCTGTCACTTCAAAGAATATAAATCCTATTTGTTTCTTTCACCTACAGAGCACCTATCACCAAACAAGGAATTCAAAGCTTCTTAAAAATTAAGGTCACTCTGACTCTACAGTTAAGGACAACAGCTATTTAGTCAGAGAATAGTAGATTAGGAATAGACTGAGTACCTCTGTCTGGGATAATGTGGAAACAAAATCCCTTTAAACCAATTCCACTTACTGATTCAGTTGCATCCAGGTTGATGACAACTGTGCCTAAGGGATCAGTTCAACCAGTGTTGCAGCTTCAAGAAGACGATTATATAGTCAAGGAAAGAGGATTCTCCTTCCTCCCCCACCCAAACGTAGATTTAAATTCATAACTAACCATACCTATATTGAAGGACTGAAATCCTCAATAATAGCTTCCTGCCCTAGAAAGCAGAACCAATTCTCAAAAGAAAAATCAACAGACTTTTCCTGATTCCTCCAGCCCAAACCTAGCAACGTGTTGGCTGTCCACAGCTGCTGGCTTTTTCAGTTTTGGTCAGGCTCAGAGAACCCAGCTTCTACACATACATGAAAATTTTTCATTTCCAAGCAAGTTTGTTTTCCTTGATGATAGTTACCAAGTCAACTCCTCAAAGTAAAAGGCTTACTTACATCACTGATATGAAGTGCATTCTGGCGGGCTCGGATAAAATCTGGATGATCAGGAGGCATGGTGTACCTGTGCCTGGCTTCAGAGTCTCCAGCCTTGTACAGTCTCTATGGAGACAAAAGTCATTGCATGCAACTGATACTGGAAGCAATGTTGAGATCAATTCTTTTATGCATTATAGTACGACAAAAGTTAATATCACTTATAGTAAAACAACACCTACATCACTGCACTGGAGGTAGCTGGTTTTAGCATGAATCAGATCTGGAGAGTCAACCACAGCAGTGAACTTCAAACTTTCTGGCTTCTGACGGTACTTTATCTGAGAGGGGAAGGAGGCAACAAAAAGAAACAAAGGAAAAAAAAACCACAGGATGTTTCTGTTAATGATATATCACAATTCCAAGTGTTTGATAACTGGAGTAAAACATAAAAACCACCTTCCTGAAGCCACAGTATTAAAAACATACTGATCTGCTTAAGTCTCAGTTGCTCTTTCAGCTAGGGAATGGGGACGCTGCTGTGTCATTGCTGTGGTGCCCAGGCACCAAACTTCTTATTTTGTGTGTGTGCAAGAAAGACTTCCCACTGAAAATTCACATGCAAAAAGCTTTCGAACACTACGCTTTTGACAGCTCATAATTTTTCGCCATTAATGCATGATACCGAGCAGGCAAATGTCCCTTCAGTGTGGTTGTCAATGCTGTATCTTTCTATATCACTTCCATAGCCACCTGCTTAGAATTTCATAATGGGGTTTACTGCATTTATTTATTGCTACATGTTTTGTTTATACTCTTGTGTTTCATTCGGAATGGAAAATATTCAGCAGGTGTCACACAGTGGACTTGCATCTCCTGTACTGCTTCTTGGTAACTTACACCTTGTATAAACAGGCTCCCACATCAAAAGGAAATGATAAGCTACATTCGTAAGTGTCATGTAACAAGGAGCCTTGATGGTAAACAATTCCTACAGACGTGCTATTCCATGAAAGATTTATCAGTTACCTCGCTGATGAGCTCTCCAGCCTTCTTTACACTTTCTATCTGCGGAGATCTCAGAGCCATCCAACCAACTCCTTTCATGAAGTTCAGGTCTGATTTATAGCGATGCTGTTAAAAATGAAAATCGTTAGCTATCCATTTTGTATCCACAGCGATTAAGGTTTTTTAAAAAGACTCCCTGATTCATATTAACATTTTGAGGTTTTTCATTTGCCATGCACATATCACATCGTAAAGCCAAACTGTTTGCATTTGTTCATTCCACCAGGAATTAAATAATGTATCATATGCAAGTTACAAGAGGAGGCCCCACGAGTGAATTAGTATGACTCAAAGCAATAAGTAATAACCTGTTTGTACTGGGTGTAAAAGAACCCCTTTTGAAATAATTTTCTGAGGTGAGTTCAAGTCAGGAATACTAATTATTTTATCTGATGCATGCTTCCTCATTAACCCCATTTCTAGGAGGACACATTACTCTTTCTTTACTCACATTAAAGACTTGTTCTACCTCCCGATCCAGTAAAGAAAACAAGGCAGACCCAATCAAAAGTGAAAGCCAGTAAAGTACCTGCAATCCCAACAACTCTGAATTCTCCTTCAGAGTGACAGTGGCTCACTGTGTGACTTTAATCCAATCAGCCATTTTTTCAGGGTTTCCCCCCACCCCATATGGAAAAGGACATAACAGCCGGCTAGCACAAGCGTGTTGTAAGTTAATCTATTAGATAGTGAAGGTATCAGACAAAACCACCTTCATCATTTCGCTGGATTCCTAACTTGTGGGTTCTAAAGGCAAAGAGCCAAGTGCTGAGGTTCTTAGTCACCTCCTATCCTGTCCCTTTGTAGGCAAGCTCTGAAGTACATGCTGTTAGAGTCTAAAGACTAAGTCCCTGGAAATGCCACTTTCTTATCATGTAAGCCACCATCACACATCAATAAATAGTAAAACATCCTGCATTTCTGAACCTAACTACCTGTATGCCATCTGTTAGCCATTACAGGAGAAGGCAGGAATGGGAGTTGGAAAGGCAAAGAACTGCATCTAGCAACAGCTTCTGTATCATCCCAAGAATATCCAAAAATGTTCTAGCAATGAAGAGTATATTTGGGATACTAGATAGCAAGTACACTAAGAAAGAAGGATAGAAGCCCTCCAGTGCTTTGATTGCCACTCTGACTTTCACGGCTGGAATATCTGTTAATATCTGTTCATCAGATCTGACTAAGTCCAACAAATATCCCATCACTTCGTCTCACAATAAAATCCTGAGCATAGTAAATGATCAGCTCTCTAAAGACCTAGAAAGAGTTAACCTAACTTTCTGAACAACCTTTTTCACTTCACTTCACTTCTGAATGATTCAGTCTCGTCTCTTACAAAACAAAAACCACCCGAACAGAGCTTCCTGCTACAGAGCAGCTAATGACACTAGTCCTTAAACTGTCAAAATACAACTACCAGCATCCATGCAACTTTATGCATGCACTGAACATCTGTATCTGTTAGTAAGCACATACAGACAGTGGCTTGTCCCTGAACAAAGGTACACGCTAAGGCAAAGTGAGCATGGATGTGGCCCATGCTAAGATTCCACCATTTCTGTCATCAAAGTTTGTCTGAACTTACATTTTCATGAACAATTTCAGCAAAACATCTGGGGAACTAGTTATTTGATATGATCATTTCTGCTTGCAAGATGACCTTCTAATAGATCCCAAATCAACCTGTAAGCATTTAACCTTCTGATCAAAGAATTCTGCATGTAGAGCAGTGGCTGTCAAACCACTGACTGGCTGTGATCCAAAGAGCTGAGAGATGCTTGTGTATATTCCTCAGCTCTAGAATAAGCAACATGGACCACAGTGATTTTCCCGTCAGGTTCATAACACAAGAACCTCTGATTCACATATATTCCATATGTGAGAAGCAATCAGATATCTTGTTGCTACACATACATAAGTTTACAAATGGTCTTTCTAAAAACACTGCCCAATATCAATATACAATTTGTGCCAATCACTCAAAGCTTTGTTATTGCTAAATTAAATTTGCTGTTAACAGAAGGAAAGTCTTTACCTCACTCTGTAGCATGTGGGCTCTTTTGGCCCACTTCAGCTTCATGTCCTCCGGGAGTGCTGTAAATTCATGGAGTCTCTTTCTGTAATCTTGATCACTTGCTAAGGCCTGGGCTTTCCTGGCGTGGACGAGATTCACCATATCCATGGGCAGATGGTAGTGAGACCACACTTCTTGTGATCCCTTCTTATACTCCTGTTCACTCTGTAATTTGGCAGCATGCAAGCAATGCAGCAATCTGGTGTCATCCAGAACACTTCTGGCACCAATATGCTTTCCTCTTTCCTTCACAAAGTTGTGTTTATATTGGTACTAAAAATAAAAAAAGGGTAAAAGTGAAAAAGTGCCAAACTTAGACTGGCTGCTCTGGGTAACTAACTTAGGATAAGTCACTGAAACATCTATGCTGTCTGTAAAAACAGCCAAGGTATGCAGGTCTAGAAAGTAATTATTTGAATCTCTCATTGCTCTCAAATTTAAATACCACAGTAGTTGCAACATTAAAGTTGAGCGCATCTTAATACATTCTCTGAATATGCCCAAAGCATTGATCATGTTTAACCTCAGATGATGTACTTTTATTATCTCTCATAAAATTTTATTCCCATCACTAGGAATGAGAACATAAGAGAAACAAACAAAAGACAGAAGGAAAAAAATCTATACAAAAGAGAAACATCATGCACTCCATAGCCTTCAGATTTGCAAATGCCACCCAGCTATTTTAAAGAGTAAATTCAGTTTTCCTGGATCAATAACTATGTTGAGAAGCCTAAGATGGTGGTCTGAGCACAAGAATAAGCACCAGCAACCCCTCATTCTCATCTTAGCTGGGACTATGACTCTCCCTATGATCTTGCATTTATCCTCTCCGTGAAATAGTGATGATGATGATAATGATTATTTATACAGCATCAACAGGGTGCTTGGAACTTTAAAGGGAAGGCCTGGGCCCTGAAGAGTTCATAATGTAGTTGAAATGGGATAATAACACTTATCTACCACACAAGAGAGTTGTGGGGATTAAATTACAGTAGCTAATGTTTATAAAGTGCTTCCAAGATGAAGGGCCAAATTCAGATCTGTTGTAAGTGGATATAATTCTATTATGGACTTGTACCCTTTAAAGCAGATCTGAAGCTGTAACCAAAAGCACTCTGCAAAATATGGTTAAGTATACATTATAAACTACAGCTAGAAATAGTTGCTTCATAAAACAAATACACTGAAATATATTCACATTTTACCACATTGGAGATAAAATATGCAACTAAATACTACACAAAATGAAGACTTCTTTTACTAAATTTAGCTTAATTGTCAGATGTTCCTAGAATTTATTAAATTTCTTGTGAGGAAGGGATGAATTTAGGCTTTCTGAGAAATGGATACCACCATGTCTGAGTGTTTTGCAAACAACAATCCAAATGAGAGGCTATTTTTAAGGGTAAGAAGATTTGTTTCCTCTATTTCAGAAATTAAGGGGACACATATTTACAGGAGCATCCACTGATTTTCACTTCCTAACCAGACAGGCAGCTCCTGATTTTCAGAGATTCAAGGAATGCTCAGCTTCTTCTGACTTCATTTCAATTCAGGAGCACTAAGCACTTCCAAAAGTCAGCTCAAAGTAGGCTGGACAGAATTAGTGGGCACTTTATGATATGAGGAGCTGAAGGCCTGGAAAGGAGAAGAATCCCTCTGATTTGTCTGTCTGCAAATACTTTAATTCACTAGCTATTTCCCACTGGAAGATGTTTAACCAAGCTTGGTTCCCGATCAGCAGCGATTCTTCCTCCTCTTTTTTTTTTTTTAATTCACACAAAGAATCTCATTCATAAGTAATATATTCTGTCTCACACTTGTCTCACATGGTTATGGAGTTGCTTTAATTCAGTAAAATCTGCTTTAGACATTGTTTTACATGAAGTTAACAGAAATTAGGCAAGAAGGAAGGTTGAATCATTCAACTCACATCACTGGCAATTTCTCTGGAGGCCCTGGCAGTCTGGAACGGGAGTGCTTCCGTTGTCAGCTTGTAGCCTTGAGCACGTAGATTGTGCCAAGATTCTCTGTATTTTGCCTAAAGTAGGAAAGGCACACGTAGATTGCTGTTTCACTTTTAAATGCACAAAGGAACAAACAAAGGAACCCTCTTTCATTTGTTATTCTGTGTTACAGTCTCATTCTTCATAATCAAAGGATTTTTTTAAATTATCTTTGGGAAATCCTACTAACTCAGACAAAACATGTCTTGTTCTTTATGTAGATTTAATTTACTCACAACCATATATATGCTAATGGCGATAAATATCATTATAATCAAATCAGGGAAAGCATAAAGAGAATAGACCTAAAAAGTTCTCTACTTATCCATCTTTCTTGCCACTGCAATTCATCCTCCATCCCAAATAAGTATAAGAAATACAGAACAAATTCTTACGTCACTGAGGTTGGCTGCATTTATTCTTGCCCGTGTAAACTCAGGCAGACCCAGTGTGGGTGTATAGTGATGCTGACTGTCCTCTCCTGCCGCTTTATACAGGCGCTAGGAAAGAGATTAAAAGACAATTGTAATTAATTTTCTCTATTGTTTCAATAATATAACATCAGTATTTATTCTTGTTTGTGATTATGAAAACTATAGTCAGCCAGCACAAAAACCATCTAAGAGTATGCCATTGCAATTGCATGTTTGGTTGTTTTTTTTTTTTTTCCTGGGTATAAAAACCTTTTATATCAATTTTTATACATATATCATGATGCCAACCCACTACATTCTTAGCCTTGCATTGATATGTTCCCAGCAGGCCAAAGTGGACCTAAGAACATTAAGGGCACCGTGAATGTATGTTAAATAAAAGGCCAGACATTTCTGGTAGACCAGCCATATTTTCTAGCTTGGATTTTTCCTCATGTTATTACAGATGATTTTGATAATTTGTCTATGGGTTTTGTCTTATTTTTTAAAAAGTAGAGAAGTTATTCTTTTTTTAGGAGCCCTCTGAAGTGGACCATACTTGACCATACTTGACCATACATGAAAATGAGCTCTCTCAAGAACACCCTGCCGATCTGATGTTTTGAGGTTCTGTTACTTGTAAAAAAAACCTGATAACGGGACTCTATCATACAGGCATTATTTAAGCTTTTTAAAAGAAATTGAACTGAAATTGGTATTTAATGTTTGGAAATAATAGAATGTGTTCTAACTGTGAAAAAAGCACAAATCAGTGATGCTTGCTTTCTTTTTGATGCATTTTGCTTTCAAAACAGGGTTGTTTCTTTCCCACTCCTCCATCTCTAGCTCACTGCATTTTGAAAAGCATATTTTCTGATTCACGTTAGGAGAGCCTACCTCATTAGCAATCATATTGCTGAATTTTGCATGAAGGAGGCCAGGAGAGTCTGTCACCGATGTGTACTTGAAGGAATGTGGCTGCTGACGATATTTACTCTGAGTGCACACACAAAGAAAAATGAACAGAATAACTAAATTGTCTTGTCAGATAAGGGACTTTTTCCAGTACCAGTGGTCTAGTACTGCTTCTTGTCCTTAAAACTCAACTTTGCAAAGGGTATGTGTCTATTAACCATTAGACTAATTTACCTTTTGCTACTCTGAATTTGATGCATTCTAGTCTCACAGGGGAAATGAAAAGTAAATAAGGAATAAGGTGTAAAAAAAAAAAAAAAGTGCTGCTATGCTGAATACAGTAATAAGGTTGTTTCACTCGTTGGTGTCATTAACCCTGGCTGGTGGAATTACAGCAAAGGTAATCCGATCCAGAAAGAAGGTGCTGCAC